CTTTAGGAGCCAGGAGGACAGAATGTGTTTCTAGCTGTGAACACATTTGTGGTTCAATGCTTAGAGCTGAAATAATAAGGTGGTTTGCGTCCAACATTATGTTTAACAGAGTGACAACAGTACAATTTGTGGGTGGCCATTTAGAACCATCATCTCTGCAGATACGAGTCATTCCTTGTGGTGGTGAGGGTCTGGCAGAGAGCAAGCTAGAGCTGTGGTAAGGGGTGAACCGCCTCCCCAGTGTGGGCAGAACCATGTCGAGACACACACACTCCAGAAACACAAGGGCTTTCCTAGGTGAGAAGAAACAGAGGAACCGTGGAAACCAGCTCCACTGTCTCTCCACAGGTGCAAGATGGAGCTAGTGGACATGTAGCTGGTTTTAAGGTATAATCTGACTTTTTCTTAAAAGACAAGCATAAATACTATATCAGAAACCAAACTGCTAGTAAGTACTGGCTGAGGAATGGTCTCATCAAAAGCATACGTTTTCATGAAAATGTTCCCAGTCAGTTGAACGCATCGGAGACCTGGGACCCTTCCACGTATCTATTGTGCATCCACTTTAGATGTGTCTATGCTGCCTGCCAACATCTTGTTGGGTAACTTGGCTAGTCTGTTACTAGTGACATGTTGACTTCCAGTGATTTGTGATAATTTCTTTAATTGAACAAAAAGAACTCTCTAAAATGAGGGTGGGTCAATCAAATATTCAGGGCAAGAGGTCAACAGTAAAAAGTCCCTGAGCCCCAGTCCTGATGTCCCAGGAACCAGGCTTGAAGTCAAACCACATCAGTGGCCTCCACTTTTTTGTTAAATAGGAAACTACTTTTCCAAATGGTCATTTTAAGGAAACAGTCGCGTTACAACACACATACACACACACACGGTGCCATACACTTCACTCTTGAAAACGTGTCTGTAGAAGTTTTTGCAATGATACAATCTCAATTAGAAGCATACAAATTCTAATCTGACTTAATCGGATAATGCATAATGTTTCTATTCTAATTAAAGAATAATTTCTTTTATTACTCTTAACAATTTGATGTGTTTGCACTAGTGAAATTATGAATTGCACAAGCTGCTCAATTTGCTTCTACAGTGAGTTCCTCAGGTTAGAGTTTCCAGGACTATTTTAATTATTATTAAATAAACGAATGGTACACTATTAGACAAATATTAAAACAAGCCTTGCACTCGGTTATTAATTTGCACTATCCGCTTTTAAATGCAGCAAATATCTCATTAATTTAATTTTAGGTGCCTACCAGTTTATATTGCATTTTACAGTCTAGGAGACAATTTACTATTAACTAGCAATTACATACACAGTGATTGTTAATTCTGTTCCTAAGTGCTAGCCGCTTGAAAATTGTTCTCTCTCTAATTTTTGACCTTCTTACAACAGGGGTGAGGCTCGCTGGGAATACAAAGAACTCCTGTGCAGGAGCTGGACATGTCATTTGTGGCTCATTCTTTTAATTCGCCGTGCTAATCAACTGAACTGTCACAGCCTCCCAAGGTAATTGTGACTTGAGAAGGGGCTGTGAGAAGCAGCCAAGAGGCTGGATGGATGGGGCCTGGCCGGCCTTCCCCTTCCGGGGGCAGAGGCCGAGCACGACCACTCTGGGTTGACTAATAAGGTCTGGTTTTGAAAAATCTGGTGTTTCTCGGGTCACTGTAAACAGCTCATTTAGACCTCTGCCAAGTCCCTCCCAGCCTCTGGCAGGCTGGTGGCTGCCTCTCCTCCAAGCCCAGGTTCATTATCCCGTGGCCCTGCGGCCCCACAGCTGGCCTCACGCCAGGAAGGTTAAATGTGAAGGTGTCCCAGCAGCCTCCAGGGCCTGGGCACACTGATGGGAACCAGACGCCCAGGGGACGGCGCCCATGCTGTGACATCCAGAGGAGCTGGCTCAGTTTTCATCAGAGAGCAATTCCCTGTGATTACTTCATTGTCCCCCATCAATTTGGGGCAATGCAAATCAGACAGAAGCTTCCAGGCCAGACAGGTTATGACCCCACCTTTCCTCTGCTCCCTGAGAGTATAGAGCTCTGTAGTCCTTACACACATTTGAAATGTATATTCCTGGTAACAGTCAATGTGTAGGGGAAGATAATATACCACTGGGCACTGCCAAATAACCACATGCGGGCAAACTGAGGAACTCCCCAAGCCCTGGACAGCAGGACCCAGGTCTTAGGATCAGTAAGTTCAGCCAGTCTGAACGTGGGCACAGCCCTGAGTCTCTGGGAAGGCTGGTGCAGCTGGAACTAGCTGAGGAGGGTACTGATGGACCCTCTTGCCAAGGAGGGAGTTCTACCTGATCAGAGAGCAAAGAGTTTCAGAGAGAGAGCACCCTTCCCCATCCACCCACCAGGAGAGCTAGGACTGCTTCCAACTGACACCTGCCAGCCAGTGACAGCCGGTTACCCCCACCCTGCACACCTGCATTTATTTACAAGTATTTAGTCCAGGACCTGTCTGCAGCACTAGGGACAGATGCTGGAAGATGGCAGGAAGGTAGCACCTGGACCTCTTTGCTGTCACGTTTCTTTTAAAGAAAACTACCCACTGCTAACAGGAGCCTTCTCCACAAAAAGCCCAAGTATCCCAAGGTGTGAGCGCAGGAAAAGACCTGCTTGGGGCATCCCTAAATAACCCAGTAGGAGCTCCTAACAGTCTGACATGAGAACAGGTAGGAAACATCTATGAAGAGCAGGCCGGCCTTGTCACCTGTGGACACAGGCTCATGGAGGTGCTACCAGCCAGGCCACATGGCAGCAGAGAACTCAGCCTTGACACGTGCCTCCCACAGCACAGGTGTCAGTACGTGTAGCTTGGGATCAAATGCACATCCAAGGAGCTCAGAACACGAACAGGTTCCCAGGGGCCCCAACAGAAGTCCCATGTCACTCACGTTCCACAGTAGGCTCTATGTACTGAGGGCCTGCCACGTGTCAAACACTTCAAGTTGTCCCCGATCTTTTCCAAAGGTCCATAGAGAGGGGAAAGAAATCCAGACTCAGGGGAGTCTGCAGAGTCCCAGAACCAGCACCTGGGGCATAGGGCTGTCTAGCTGCATTATTCTCGTCTCTGCATAGGGCCTGCTGCCTCTATGGTCTGAAGTTCATGGCCAGGGACTCAGACATGTGTGGTGCCCACACCAACAGTTGCTATGAGGAGGCGTGCTGAGTGAGTGTGGAGACGTGACTGCAACTCACGCACGCACATGACCCCAAGGCAAAGGTGCTGGGGAGGACCACGAGGCCCATGGCAGAATTCCAGCTTCTTGCCTCCAGAGGACCTTAGCAGTCACTACATACGTGCCCCTCACTGCACAACGAAAGCACTTTTCTGCTGGAGCTACCAGATGCTCCTGGACTAACTATGGGCTCACCTCCCGACAAACACGTTTTAAGTAAAAAATATCTTAAGTTGAACATGAATTTAATACACCTAGCCCACTTTAAATGTGCTCAGGTCACTTACACTGGCCTATGGTTGGGCAAAACCATCTAGCACAAAGCCCACTTTATAATAAAGTGTTGATTATCTCATATCATTTATTGAATACTATACTGAGGATGAAAATGTTACATGGACACCCCTCCCTCAACATAAAGTTCAGAAATAAGTCGAAGTGTTTTAAGTCATGGACCATCCATAGACAAATGTTTAAAAGATGCCTCAATTTTTATAATGTTGATGCTTTTTAATACTGAGGGCTTTTCAACATCTACAGGAACCATCCTCTCTCAACCTTTAGACCTTACAGGGGTCCAAGAGTATCCGGGCCCCAAAATGGGCCACAGGAAGCTGTGCCCACTCCCTGTGTCCCTCAGTTCTAGGAACTCAGTGTCCCACACTGACTGAGCAGGCAGGAGCGATGAGCTGTCAGGAGCTAGGTGCCTCTAGGGCCATGATTCAGGCACAGGCCTGGATGACAGGAGGCCTACTAGGGAGCAGGGCATTTACCTGTTGTCTCTATGCCTGCTCCTTCCTAGAGGAAAGAGGTCTCTCCAACCTTCTTGAACCACAGAGCTAAAGGGCTTCAGCAACCCCTGTGGAGCATTTTTGTTGGACAGAGCAGGGTATGGCACCCCAGTGGGAGGCCAGACTTGCCCCAGGGTGCCTTTGGGAGGTGGCAGGTCAAGCCCTGATTCTCAATGTGGGCAGTCCACCAGCCACTGAACAGCCACAAGCATTCGAGAAGCATTCGCCCCTTCACCTTCACTGGGGTTTCAGCAGGTGGTGTCCTGCATCAAAATCGTTCTTCGGGCCTATTACAGCTTGTGGGGCTGAAGAGGATTCAAAGCCAAAATGCAAACATGCCTTCCTTAAGGTGAAGCGTATGTGTGGCATTCTCGATGGCAATCTCAAACAAAAATCGTGTTGATTAAGCACTCGTGTGGGCAAAGCGGCATACGAAGCATCCCTGCGACACCATGCCCGGGAACCGCACAGGCCGCCCAGTCTTCTGACCTGAGCCTGGCTAGACCCTTATGATCTGGATCCCCTCTACGCAGCAGCACCCTGCAGAGAGATCTGGCTTCCCTGAGGGCCTCTTGCATCCTCGTAAATGACAGGCTGTGACTTTTTTCCCAGTCACAGCTCAAGCAACCAAACAGCAGTGGTGTCTAGGACACGGCCCAGCTGACAAGTGGATGGGTGGACACGAGGCCTCGCATGCTGCCAGACACACTGTCGTGGGAGCTGGAGGCTGTGGATACCAACAACTTGTTGTCTATCACTTTCCCTCAAACAGGAGGGAAACACCAGAGTCCTATGTCTGCATCTGTCCATGCATCATGTGTGTTACCTCAGATACAGAGGCCAGGTACCTAATAAAACTCAACTACAGGCCAGTGAGCCTCACCTGGCCTCCCAAAGTACCCTGTGCCTCCCTGTGGGACACCCCCCAACACCCGCCCACAGGACTCCCACTGGGAAGAAGCACCCACCACTGCCCCCACGGAACCTGGAGCCGTGCACTCACCAGTGTAGACGAAGCGCCCAGGAGCGCCTTTGCAGAACTGCTTGGATTTGTAGGACAGGGTAACTTCAACAACTCCAGGGATGTGCCGCGGTGGGGTCTGTACTCGGATGGCGTGGGGGGTTATCAGCTACAGAAACCACACATGAACAGGCACTCAGCGGTGCAGGCCCTGAGAGGCGGACACTTGCCAGTTGGATATAATTACAAAATGAACACAAACTGGACCATCGTCTTGGAAT